TACATACATACACACACACACACACACACACACATACATACATACCTATATAGTAAATAGATATTTTTAAAATTAAAGTTGTGGGCCTGAGAGACACATATAGTATTAAGTGCTTGTATCCCAAGCCTGGCAACCAGAGATTGATTGCCACAGCCCACGTACGAAGCCAGATGCTGTAGCAAAGATGTACAATATCACTTACAGCAAAATTGGAGGTGGACTCAGGTGAATAGGCACAGGATGGAGCAGCTCAGTGATGCAGAACACTGTGCCTTAATGAGGTGGAGGGTAAGAGCTAACCACAGAAGCCAGGTGTCATAATGCACACCTTTGATCTAGCACTCGGGAAGCAGAAGAAGATCTCTGAGTTCGAGGTCAGTCTGGTTTACAGAATGAGTTCCAGGACAGCCAGGACTATACACTGTCTCAAAAACAAAAACAAACCAAAATTTAAAAACCTCCATAACTCCAGGAAGTTCTTTTAACCCCCATGGACACACCACAGAACATGTATGTGCAGTTTGCACTGAATAAATAAATAAATAAGTAAAATATGATGAACTAATTAGTCAATTTGGCGGGGGAGGGTCATAGTGAAATAGCCCAGAGAGATCCACCTCTCCCAGAGGGACCTGAGAAGAAATTGAGTTTTCTGAGAACACTGTTAAATCACTATTAACATTAATGGCAGGCACGCCATTAATTATTACAAATTCTCATTTATACAAATAATATTTTCTTTTTCATTTTTCCTTATGTGTGTGCCCGTGTGCTTGCTGGTACCTATGGAGTGCAGAAAAGGGTATCAGATCCCCAGCAGTTGCAGGTGGTTCGCGTGGGGAATCTTACTCCTGTCCCTTATAAGAAGAGTACCTGCTTTTAATCTCCAAGTCATCTTTCCCATTGTATAAACCTCGATTTTAATGATTCTTTAAAAAAAAAAAACCTTATATGCAACATGCTAGGTGTGGTGACACACACCTATGATCCAAGCACTCAGGAGGCAGAGCCGGCGGATCTCTGAGTTCAATGCCAGGCCTGGTCTATACGGCAAGTTCCAGACTACCCAAGGCTACATAGTGAGATCCTCAAACCAAACCGAGAAACAAGAAAGTGTACGTGTCTGAGCTCCAGAACAACCAGTGGAAACCCTGTCTAAATGCAAGAAATAAACAAAAAAATTCATTTTTTTCTCCTTTTCAGCAAGGGTCTCACTATGTAGCCCTGGTTGGCTTAGAACTCTACATGTAGACCAGGCTGGTTTCTAATTCACAGAGATCCACCTTGCCTCTGCCTCTATAGTCCTGGGACTGAAGGTGTGTGCCACCATACAGGGCTAATTTGTAAACGTTATGTGTGTGTGTGTGTGTACTTGCGCACCTGCAGCACGCACAGGAGGCTCTCAGAAGTCAGAGGACAACAGAGGGGAATATATTCTCTTCCTTTACTACATGGCTCCTGGACATCAAACACAGACTGCCAGGCTCAGCAGTAAGTACTTCTTCCCGTGATAAGCCATCTTACCAGCCTTTCCAGATTTGTATTCTATAACACTGGGGTAGGGGACAGTACAGAGAAGACCATTCCTTCCTCTCTCCCTCTTGATGTCATCATTGTCACAGCTTGTCAGCAGAACCCAGTGGTTAAAAAAAAAAATGCTGGTTTGTTCACTTGAAGGAAGTGGCCATGGGCCCAGATCGAATGTGGGCTGTGGCACAGTTCCTGTTGTCCTGTGGACTCCTTCCGCTCTTGGGAGCTCAACCTTCTTTCTGTTTTTCTTTTTCTTTTCTTTCTTTCTTTCTTTTCTTTCTTTCTTTTTTTTTTTCGAGACAGGGTTTCTCTGTGTAGCCCTGGCTGTCCTGGAACTCACTCTGTAGACCAGGCTAGCCTCGAACTCTCTAACTCAGAAATCCGCCTGCCTTTGCCTCCCAAGTGCTGGGATTAAAGGCGAGCGCCACCACCGCCCGGCCTTTCTGTTTTTCATAACTCTTTTTTTTTCTTTATTTCCTTCTCCTAGAAGAGCACGTGATTCAGAAGTTTCCTTAAACATGATATGTGGGAGGGAAATCTTTTTTGAGAACATACTTATCGGAAGACATGCTTACTTTACCCAACGACTTGATCAATAATTTGGTCATGTGAGGAATTCTAGCTTAAGTATAATTTTCCTAAAGAGTTTTCATTCATTAATTTATTTTTGTTTGTTTGTTTGTTTTTTTTTTTGAGACAAGGTCTCACCATGTAGACCAGGCTGGCCTCAAACTCTCAGAGATCTGCATGTCTCTACCTCTCTACCTTCTAAGTGCTGGGATTAAAAGTAAAGTATGAACCACCATATCCATCCCAAGAATTCTCTGAAAAATGTATTCATTAAAACAATTTTATTTTACATTTTATTTTGTGTGGATGTCTGGTGCGGGCATGCACCATAATATGTGTGTGTGTATGTGTGTGTGTGTGTAAACCAAAGGACAACTTAAGAGTGTCAATTCTGGGGCTGGAGAGATGGCTCAGTGGTTAAGAGCACTGACTGCTCTTCCAGAGGTCCTGAGTTCAATTCTCAGCAAGCACATGGTGGATCACAGACATCTGTAATGGGATCCGATGCACTCTTCTAGTGTGTCTGAGGACAGTGACAGTGTACTCATATAAACAAAATAAATAAATCTGAAGACATCTGCAGTGTAGTCACATAAATAAAAATAAATAAATCTTAAAAAAATATAAAAGAGTCAATTCTATCTTTCTATTCTGTGGGCCCTAGGGATTGAACTCAATACCTCAGGCTTGGCAGCAAATGCCTTGTCTACTGAGCCATCTCACAGGCCCAATTTGTGTGTGTACATAGGTCAGAGGACAGCTTTGTGGAGTCAGTTCTCTCCGTCTACCTTTACCTGGGTTGCAAGGAGGGTACTCAGGCCACCAAACTTGCATCACTGGACAGCAAGCGCCTTCACTGGACAGCAAGCACCTTCACTGGACAGCAAGCACCTTCACTGGACAGCAAGCGCCTTCACTGGACAGCAAGCGCCTTCACTTATGGAGCCATCTTGCTGCCATTTTCCTGAAGGCATTGTCCCTCAAATAGAACTGCTCAGAAACCCAAAGCCATCTAATTTCCTGTTTCTTTAAGGCTTTGGTTTTTCACTGGAAGCCGAAAGGGTCTTATCTGCTCATGCAGTTCTGAAGTTCTACAAGTAAGTACAGTGCAGTGGGGCAGGTCTTCCCTGTCGGCATAGGTCTGGGAAATTCTCTTGGAATAGTTCCACAGATGCTATCCTTATTTGTTTTCTTTCTTTCTTTCTTTCTCTCTCTCTTTCTTTCTTTCTTTCTTTCTTTCTTTCTTTCTTCCTTTCTTTCTTTGTACTCCTGATCTGGTTTCTTTTCTTTAAAAAAATATTTTAAATTTTGTGTCCGTGCTCACGTGCACACACGTGAATGATCGCAGGTGTCTAAGGAGGCCAAAGGTGTTGGATTGCTCTGGAGCTGGAATTCAGGTGGCTGTAAGCCATGTGACTTGGGTGCTGGGAACCAAATTCCATCTACTGCAAGAGCAGTTTGGACTCCTAAGCTCCATGAGGAGAGAGAAGAGGGAGCTTGCCAGGCAAGTGTGAGGAAAGGGTTATGTGAGGACCAGAGCTCCAATCCAGAACCTGTGTGTATACCAGGAGGGTGTGATGACTCACCTGTAATTCCAGGAAGTGAAGATGGGATCTCCAGGGCAAGCTGCTTGTCTAGACTAACTGGGATTGGCCAATTTTGTGTTCAGTGAGAGATCTTGCTTCAAGATATGTGAGGTGGACAGCAAATGAAGACTATACCCAACGTCAGCCTTGGTGCTCTATAACCATTCGTGCACACGCACACAGGTATGACCACTCCTACACATGTGCCCACACATATAAACATGTGTGCATACAGACTTGTGCACACACACACACACACACACACATACACCACATACATAACCCAAAATATCTTTAATGTTCCTGTCTTCTAATAGGCTACCTTATTTGTGAATGAGTTATATTCTTACCCTATCATATCAGCAACTTTTAAAAGAATTCTTTCTGTCCTTTATCCTTATGTTTATAATTTTAATGATGTGTATGGTTTTTTCCTTCCTTATAGTTTTGCTTATTTAGTGCCGCTTCTCCCTTTCCCCCCACGCCCCATTGAGAAAGCCTCATGGTAGTTCAGGTTAACCTTGGACTCTACATAGCCAGAGGACAAACTTCGGATCCTTCTGCTACCTCCAGTCCAAAGCTGCGATTCCACATCTGTTTCATACTGTAGTGGGGCTCAGACTTAGGGGCTCATGCCTGCCAGGGAAGCACTCTACCAGTTGAGCTGCATATCCAGCTCCTCTTAGAGACATGTAGCCCAGGCTGGTTCTTGAATTCCACCTGTACTTGATGTTGACCTCATGATTCTACTGCTTCCGCCTACCAAGAGTTGGGATTACAGGTTAGTCACCAAGGCAGGCTGTGACATGCTAGGGATGGAACCCCAGGTTGTACATGGCAGCAAGCGTTATAACTTGGACACATCCCCAGCAGTTTCTTTCTGAGACAGGATCTCACTGTAGCAAAAGCTACAGAGAATTTTCTAGCAGGACCTTATGCTATAGCATATTGTAGTTATCACATAACAAGGGGGCTCAGGAATCTCCCCATGGAGTTAGCAGAAGTGGGTGCAAACGAATGGAACCCTATCAGAGACCCGAACCGGGAACCCAAGGAGCCAGCGCTCCTCCTAAACTTGTTCACACCCAGGACGCTATAGCGTGCCAAAATGGCGGACGCCCCGCCCCGCGGCCCTTCGAGGCCCGTTCGCCGGCTGGAGCCGACTGTTTCCGAGCTTTCCCGAAAGCCCGTGGAACCCAGGAACGGCGCGGGCGGGAGCGGCCCCGCCCGGAGCCTGGAAGCTGCGTCGACGGCACCGAGGGGGAGGGGAGGCCGGATGTGAGTGGAGCGGCCATTTCCTGTTTCTCTGCAGTTTTCCTCAGCTTTGGGTGGTGGCTGCTGCTGTGCTTCGCCTTCCAGTCCTCCGAGGGCCAGGCGGCGTGGACAGCGGTCCCGGCACTCGGCGCCCCGCCGCCCGCAGCCTCGCACTCGCCCGCCCCGCGCTTCCCGAGCCCGCCGCTTCCCGCCTCGGTGACCGGCCGCCGCCGCCGCGGCCCACGGAGCGGCCCAAATGCAGGCCATCAAGTGTGTGGTGGTGGGAGACGGGTGAGTGCACGACCGTGCTGGGCGCCACGGAGCGGGCGTCTCGCGCGGCGCCATCCGGGGCGGGCGGCACTCGTATCCCCGCAGGCCCGAAAAGCCTCGAGCTGGCGTAGAGCGCGCGCCCGGGCTTCTGGGGGGCGCGGGCCTCCCACCCTCCCAGGCCTGGTTCCGGCTTCTGGTTGGGGGAGGGCCTGGGCGAGCGGGCCGGAGGGAAAAGTGAACTCCACCCTCCTGCCTTCTTCCCGGGCCGGACACCGCCCGTCGCCCTGCTCAGGTTGGCACGTAGACGAGGCTGGTTTGAAGAATTTTTCTTTAAACATTTTTTTTTTCTTTTGAGAAAGGGAAATGTAGTTTCTTCATTAACTCAGGGTGTCCCCCTCACCCCCAGAGAACTGGGATAGGTAACGGCCTCCAAGTCGGTCCTGTTCGGTGCATGTTTGAACCAGTCACTTGGGTGACCTGGAACTTGGGAAAGGGCTCGTTTGCTTCAACTTTGCAGGGTTGTTTATAAAAATACTCATTTTTCACACTTTACGCCGGGAAAGTTACTGGGATGCTAGCTGAAGGAGTGTGATAAAGACTGTCCATTGAACGTAGTGTGGTTATTTTAAAAAAACCCTTCTCTGAAGGCGTTAGATATGGATGCAGCAGATCCAGCTCCCTGTGACTCGAGGCAATTCTTTTCATGGTTGACCGTGATGGTTTCAGGCCCTTGAGGGAGACAAGACTGGTCTTATGCAGTTTCCTCCCCCTTCGGTAGAAACAAGAATCTCAGTGTAATCGGAGCAAAATCGCGCGTCTCAGCGTTGCTTTTGTAGGTTCGTGTTAACGAGGAAGCTTGGAGATTTACTACTTACTACTCGTTTCCTCAAACGCAGAATGCAACTGGTCCATTTTCAAGTTGAGTAGAATACGTTGCAAAGTTGGTTAATGTCTTCCTCACTCGCAGCCCATGGATTTATGATCGATTGTTCAGCATATTTACATAACTCTACATTAGACGTTTGGGATCGTCCCTGTAACTAATTCAGCCAAACAGTCAGAGAACTTAATTTTTCTGCTAACATGTCAGTCTTTGGGATTTGTCTTGGAAACAGGAAGTCTCATGGACACGGTTCAGTGTATATAAGTACACACTGGAATTTCATTGAGTAGGAATGTCTATGGTGCTTTGTCACTTGGGGCATTTAGTTTGACAATGAAAGCAGTTTAACTGAAGTTGTAGTGTGGAGAGCAGGGTCTTTTTTGTGTAAATCCTGGCTTCTGACTGCCTTGGTCCCAACTGCATCATGAGTCTCCTGTCAGCCTTAGAAAGTACGCTTTGGGCTTACAGGTGTGAGCCACCAGGCCTGCTTTAAGTGAAGGCAGGCTGGCTGGGCCGTCTCTGTCTTCCCCTGCCCCTCCCCCCTTTGTGAATGAGCTAAATTATAGCATCTTGCTGGGGAACGTTTGAAAATTATCTGAACTTCCTTTAAAAGTTAAAAATGTTTCGCCAGCAATTTGTGGGCTGGGAATACTACCACATTTCTAGTTTTTTAATAAGTTAAATTGCTCTGTCACCATCTTCTGGTTCCCAGAGTTTAGAGACCATGGGGAGGGAGAGCGATTGTAAGATCCAGAGATCAGGGACACTAGGCGGAAACAGTTTTCTGGATTCCACTTGTGGACTCAACAGCAGCTGTACAAGATCCTAGCCCAGAGTAGAGAGGGCCTAGGCTAAGTAGAGATGGGCCCTTGCTGGCTTCTAGGGGTGGTCGGTCGAGCCAGTTTTCTTTATGGGTGTGGTCCTTGAGGGAAGCTAGCCCCAGTGGACAGCTTCACATTCATGAGTCTATGGGCAGCACAGATTGGACTAGGTGAGTTTTTAGGGGTGAGATGGGGTTGGGAGGAAGTAGGGATGAGCATGAACAGAACACATTGGAAGACATCTCAAGAAAATTACTTTTTAAAAAAAGAGATAACTTGCTCCTGATCCAGAACCATAGTGTCTGAGAGTTTCTGAGACTGAAGTACACATGCAGCAGGTATGCTAAGTTGGAGGCTAACATTGTCTTGTGGCTCTGTAGCCCCACCCCCAGCTGGGACTCACTGCCTGGTTTCTGTTCCTGACAAGTGCTGGGCAGCTGAGACACATGTTAGCCTGCTGCTGGCGTAAAAAAACCTAGTATGGATATGTTTGCATGTATGTCCGTGCCATATGTGATGCCAGCAGAGGATCTCCGGAAACTGGAGTTACTGAGAGTGGTGAACCGTTAGGTTGGTGCAAGGAGTGGGACCCAGGTCCTCTGGAAGAACAGCTAGTGCTCATAACTGCTGAGCCGTCTCTCCAGCCCCCACTACTTTTTTAACTTACGGAGTAATCCTCAGCATATCATTTTTTCCTCAAGAGAGATGCCTCAAGGGAAAGTTAAATAAGACTAAACAAGATGCTGAGTATTAAGAGGCTCTTAAGTGCCTGGTCCTTGTGGCATGCTAAGTAAGTGCTGCACTCCATTGTTGCTGTGGTTTTCTCTCTTTTTGTCTTCTTTTCTCTTTTTCTTTTTTCTTTTTGTAGTCCAGTGCCTATTCTTCTGAGTTGTTCCCACTAGCTTCTAATCTTACTGTCATTGTTGGCTTTTGTTTGTTTTTCCTGTGAGGGTCTGTGAAGAATGTTAGACATCAAAATGCAGTTCCTGGCCTTGAGGTTTTCAGTCTTGTTTAAGAAGTGTGTGTGTGTGTGTGTGTGTGTGTGTGTGTGTGTAAGTGTAAGTAAAAGTAAGGTACACAGAGCCATGGCAAGCTTGTGAAGGTCAAGACATCCCCCTGCAGGAGTAGGCTCTCTTCCTTCTGGTAGGTTCCAGGGACTGAACTTAGGTAGTCATGCTTGCCTTCACCTGTGGAGCCATCTTTCTACCCCAGTGTACTTTTGTATTTTAATGGAGTCTTACCTGTATATCTCTAGCTGGCATGTCTCTGCCTCCTGTGTGCTGGGATCAGAGGTGTGCATCACCATCTAACTGTACTTAAGAAAAAAATACTGATTGTTTTTCCTGTGTGAATATCTGCACCACATTTGTGTCTGGTGTCCAAAGAGACCAGAAGGGAGGACATTGGATCCCCTGGAACTGGAGTTTACATGTGGTTATGAGCCACCATGTGGGTGCTGGGAATTGAACCTGCGTCCTCCCGCGCTTACCCATTGAGTAGCTCTCCAGACTCTGTACTTTTTCATTCTGTACTTGACATTGATGTTGTTGGGCTAAGTGTCGAGAGAAGTGTATACATACCAAAAGAGTTGCACTCTGAAGAGTAATGTATAGCAAACACTGGTTAAGAACAGTGGTTGCCAACCTGTGGGTCATAACCCGCTCGATCGAATATCAGATATCTTGCATATTGATTCATAACAGTAGCAAAATTACAGTTAGGAAGTAGCAACGAAAATAATTTTATGGTTGAGGGTCACTAACATGGAGAGCTAGATTAAAGGGTCACAGCATCAGGAAGGTTGAGAACCACCAGTTTAGAAGTGTAGATACATAGCTTTTCATGCCAATAATATCTTTCTGCTTCTGTCAAATAAACGATATGCCTGAGATATATTTGGAATGCCATTTATTCTGAAAAATTTAAAGCTGGTAAGCCTAATATCATGTATAGCTATGAAATTTTACAGGGTTTAAAGCCGAGTGATGACAGGCAGATTGACTGAGGTCATACAAATTGCAAACTTTACTATTTAAAGTTTTTCTGAGGAATTACAGTTAAAAATTCTGTTATGACCATGTTAGATTAGTTGGCCTGTATTCTTCTGGTGGGTTAGTCCCTGTTCAGTAGTTCATTGACAGTGAATACAAAATATAAGAGATTTAAAATGCGCTTTCTGAAAACAGAACCTGTGTGGTTTTCTTGGTGATAGTATAGCATGTGCTAAGCCACACTGAGCTAGCGTTCTCTCTCTCTCTCTCTCTCTCTCTCTCTCTCTCTCTCTCTCTCTCTCTCTCT